ATTTCGGACACCCTGTATACAGGTATTTACTCATTTTTTTTATCTTATAAAATTTATAAAGAGATATTACTTATTAATGTTAGGAGGAGTTTTCAATGAAACGACAGTTGGTTGAACAATGATTTATTAGGTAAGTTCGGACAGACAAGTTCCATTCACTCATTTAACTCTTAACTTTTAGCATTCGGTTTATTCCACATACTTTGATTACTATACGGGGCAAGAGAGAGGTCCGACACGCCCAACATAGGGCGCGGCCATTTTGATTCCTGTTACACAGTTTACAGCTAAAGAATCAGATCGCTCACTCTGCGTCGGCACTTTTGATCTCAATGTTCCAGTTTATACACTGTGCAACTTGGATAATACAATATATGACAACCGCCTATAATAAAACAGCGGTCTTCTGCGTATCCTGAATTTGTGTCCCTGGAGTGGATGTTATTTTGGAACTTTCAACTGGTCCGAGTGAGCTAACTGATTCTTTAGCAATAAACTGTGATTTCAAAAATAATATTCAATGATACTGACAGCAGCAAGCAGTCGTTTTAACCTGTCAGATTAAAACAAGAACACCGACAATTCCGAAGCAGAAGCGGATGATTAAAACGCACCTATTAAAAATATTGCGCCAAGATGTAGGCAACACGTAATAAGGGTTCAAACTGGCGGAGTTTTCTATCTTCTTTTAAAAGGCACTCAGAAAGCTGCGCAGTGCGACCATTCTCCGTATAGTAAAAGAAAATCAAAGTATGTGGTTTATTCCGATTAGTGACAGTTCAACAAGCCTAAATGTCATTTAAAAGCACCCTAAAAAACTCCGCTCCTGTCCCGTTCCAGCCCCTGACTAATCCGAACGATACTATATTAGAGCATTGGGATTCTCATCTTTCAGTACGGCAAGTGTTGAGATGCCTATCTTCGTTTCATACAATGCGATTCTTATGTCATGACTCTCTCTATTCAATTCGTTACGTATTGAGTTCGCACATAAGAATCTCTATCCAGTAATGTGTATGACTTGACATATGACATTGCATTGACATCAGGGTACGTTCCGTTACAATTACCATCTGTCAGATTTTTAGATTAATGGCTTAGAGTGAAATCAACGTGACTTTAATAACAAATTTTGGAGGAGACAGTTAAGTCGACTCTTTCATTACATTCCACAAAATGGATGCTTGGTTTATATGCACATCGCTAGATGTCTCCACTATCGAGACACAGCTGGCCGTAATTAGTTATATATTTGGAATAAAATAATAAAAATATAAAAAATACTACTCTATACATCATAGATTTGTAACCCTACTGAAAGTATAAGTTTTAAAATTTATATAAATAATTTCTCCTACTCCTATTAACAGCTCTTATGACTAATTTACCTAGGTATACTATTAAAATTTCACATAATCCTTTAATATTTTTTATTTTATTTTCTGTCCGCCGCCGTTTTCCTCTAACCACGCCTCTGATAACGACAATATGCATTGTACGTGATCCGGGCAGAAATGTGAATCCGATTTTCAAACAGAAGTACATACACAGCTGCATTGAAATTGGCAGTCTGTAAAAAATTGCAAGCAAAATTGACTTCTATTTTGATACAACTTCGAGTGTATTGAATTTCTACTCTAGAAATGAACGAAATCTTGAAAATGCATTTCGAGAAAGAGAGTAGTAGTAGTAGTAGTAGGTACAGGACCGTTTAAAAAAAATAAACTAAAGAAAGGTAAGTGCAATTTTTTAGAAATATAAAATACTTTCCTTTTAGAATCTTCATTATTTAGGGTATGGTTAACCGAAATATTAGTTAGTCGGTCCAAAATTAACCGCTCTGCTAGACATTCCTGAAAAATCGGTTAAATAAGGGACGCGGTTACCTGAAAATGGTGACTCAAACGTCAATTCATTAATATTTTTACGGTTACTATTAAGTTGAATGTCAATATGTCACAAATGTGACTTAAATCTCGGCAATGGTCCAAAAGTAACCAAGAAATCAGTTATTTTCAGGAACCGCTGTCAAAATATCCTGGTTACTAGCGGTTAATAACGGACCATACCCTTAATAACCTTCAAGTGTCAATCAACTGTCAACTGTCATTACATTAGAAGTATTTTAACCTTAGAACATATATAGTCAGGAAGGAGCATGCCATGTCCGCGTTAATCTAATCGATCTGACGGAAGTGGTAGCTATGTTGTACTATGGATGACTCATCATCATATGATAAATGGTTTCTAAAATTGGTTTGTAATTTTATTGATTAAAATTTGTTAATAATTTGGATGTTTTATGTGTTAATTTAAACTTTTATCAAGCGTATGTTTTGTAGACATTTTTAAAAACTGTTTAGCGTTTTAGTATTTATTTAGTATTACTTACTGTTAATTTTACATTGTTCGCGTTAAAAGACAAACAAGACAATATGGTCAGTTGTTCATCTTATGGATATAGCAGCACAGCTAAAAGTAGAAAGGAATAATCTACATTTCATAGGCAAGTATTTTGTTCTCTCAATTTTCAACCACATTAAAGATTTTTAAAATTTTTAGTGTTTTAAATTTGTAAACAAACATGGCAAGTGCATCTGCGATCAACTGTGCTCATAGGTGGAATCTCATGATTTATAGGGTATACATACTTTTATTCTTAAAGATTCTAGATTTACAAATTATATAAATTAATCCCAGGTAGACAATTTTTAGATTTCCTAAAGATTCTCAAATAACAAAGTCATGGCTTGAGTTTATGCAACAAACAAATTGTGAGCTAAAATATTATAATTTTTTGTGGTCACGACATTTTAAAGCAGACTGTTTTGATCGAACCTCAAAACCAACAATAAAAGTGGTCCGGTTGAAGTATATAAGTAAATAAATTCTTTACTAACTATATCATGTGTCGTTTTTTCCGTATAATAAAAGTTTATTGTATGAAAGTGATGCACTCTATATAATTTATTATAAAGTTATTTACAAAAACGAACACAAATAGAATAAATAATAGCTCAAGTAAGGAAATAAGTAACATATCCTATGCCCAGGCGCGGATGCAAAGGGGGGGGGGGGGTAATAGGGTAATTACACCCCCCCCCCCCACCGAGCTGCTCGAACAAATCCAGGAATTTATTAAATTGTAATCTAAAAACAACGAGATTTTACGAGAAAGCAAAAAAACAAGATGACAGTGACGAATGAAGAATAGAGAAGTACAGTATTTTTTGTTATTTTTTAAATAAACGAATAATTCTTTGATAAAAAATTTTCTACGATTCCTCCTTCCTGACTATATATATTCTAAGGATCATACCCTTAATAACCTTCAAGTGTCAATCAGCTGTCAACTGTCACTACTTTTAGAAGTATTTTAACAGCCAACAGTTCATTTAACAAGCTACATTCATGACACCATTGGGAACTCATAGTTTAAATTTCTTTGTATATCATAACTACAAATAAAAAAAATTTGATTTTGCTATTATCCTTAAAAGAATTCCAATAATTCATCGAATTTTTATATATTTAAAATCTGAAGTCAAACTTTAACTCTTTTCTTTACTATACTTTTTTTTTCACCAAAATTAGTAACCATATACACATCAAATAATAACTAAAAAACTTAACCAAACGAAATTGCAAGACATGAAATATGGCGACTCCAGTTACTCGCAGCAGTAGCGATATTTTCCTAGGACAAATATTTATCCTTTTACTTACAACGTCAGAGCCTCGAGCATTAAATTTAATTTTATTTGAGAAGTCTCTAATGGCCCTCACTGCACTGATGGTATGGGTATCGCATGTGCATGCGAGTTTTGTAAATATAAACGAACATGAAAGTACAAGTAAGTTTTCTTTTCATGGAAATAGTTGTCGTGATGTAATTGAAGAAAATTTCGATGCCAAAGTTCTGTACTAATAGATTGAGATATTGTTTTGAATAATATAGAGCGTAGAAGAAAAGTTTGTAGTTTATTTACAAAGCTATCATCATATCCCTCCTGATAATATTAAACTTGCGTCAGGTAGATGCTTTTACAAAAAAAAAAAAAAATTAAGAAAATATACATTTATAAAATTTGAAACGTCAATAGTGAGTAACATTTTTAATATTGTTCACTGTAGCAATGTAGATGACTATTTTAATTATAGCCAGAGTCATAATTTCATTAAAAATCTGTCAAAGTAAGAGTCACATGACAGGTTACGACATAAAATTAAATTTCGTAACTTTTGATCATAATCTAAATGAAATAAAACTTGGATTACAGGGAAAATGTCACACAGGAACGAAACCATTACCACTAGCCAATCTATTGTGCCATTAGAGCCACAATACCTAGTACTTGAATAATTTTTGGATAGTTCTGCCTAAAACAGAATGGACCCATACAAATTGGCGCCCAACGTGGGGCACTAATTTGGCATCGGTAGAAATGACAGAAGCAGAACAGCAAGGATCGGTAAGATAATTTTTATGGTTATTGTAATGCACTGATCCTTGTGTATCTTTTTATGAGAGAGGTAATTTGAGAAATTGGGGGAGTAAGGTAAGGTAGGATAAGTGTGTATCTGGGGAAAGTGTGTAGAGGCATCATAACTTCTATTCGGTGGTTTATTGTGGCTCCATCTATGAGCAAGGGGTACAACTAAATGTTATGTCATTTTATATAATATTATTATTGGTATGCAATTAGGTAATTAGAGTGTAATTTGGTTAAGTATTCTCAAATTCTGTTTATTTAAACAATTTATATACAATCCTGTAATTGGGCCCACAAGTTGGATGTATAAACATATAATTTCCAACTTTTTGTAAAAGAGTAGGTATATTTTTACTGTTCATAAATAATTGATTAAAAAAAACTAATACAACCACCTCAGTATTAGGGAAATAATAACTAAAAAATGATCGATATACTCTGTACGCAAATTATGCATTAATTCAAGCACCCAAACGCACTTCACGCAAAACAAACCAATTTTAATACCTTCCACTACCACCCAATACCACCGGCTCTTCCTTCCCATTCACCGCAGGGCCCAGATAGAAACGCGACGCAAACGGAAAAGAAAAGAGCCCGCGAGTCACGTGACGGCGCACAGCCTCCTGAGACATCGCGAAGACAGAAGGCGAAAGTGCTCACGTGCGCGCGGACCGAGCAGCACGGCCCGATGCATTTCCCAGCCTACTATTTGATCGCGACACTCGTCGCGGCTCACGCGACCGCCAGAAACTACCCCGATTGGCCGACGACCGACGGTCAAAGCCACCCCAGATCGCCCGCCGAGGGACTTAATTTGAGTATTGCGCATAGACACGAAAATAGGGGTAATCAGGAGGTAAACCAAAATGCCAATCATAGTTCTAACTATAAAATAAGTTATATCGATCATCAGCACCTTAATAATCACAAATATACCGCGAATAATCGTGACAGTGACAAGAATAATTACCTCGCAGTACCCGGACATAATACTAGTTACCCCAATAGGCATTTGAATAAAAATGAAAGGGGTAAGGGACATTCTGTACATAGAAATGCAAGTGACAATTTACGACGGTCTGGTCACTCGCACAATTCCAGTTATGGTCATCGACATATTGGGGTACACAGACATGGGAACAGGGGGGTTGTTGGAGTAGGCGGTGGCGGTAATAACACTGCGAAGGGGGTTGAAGGAGAGATGAAAGGAGAAATGGAGAAGTTAATGGTGGTGGATGCAACTACTGGGATACAGTATAATCCTTATGGCAAACATCAGCCGGGGTAAGTCATATTGTTTTTTTTTTTAATTTTATTAGTGATTTCAAATAATTGTTCCTTTAAAGGTTCTTGCAAAAAACACCAACATTTTTGTGGAGATCTTTATTTAAACCATTTAATATTTATCTATTTTTAAAAATTCAAACAGCTTGGAACGTTTTTCTTGCAAAAAAAACACCAACAATTTCGTGGAAATCTTCATTTAAACAATTTAATATTTATTTATTTTTAAAATATCGAAACAGCTTAGAACCTTTTTCCTGCAAAAAAACACCAACATTTTCGTGGAGATGTTTATTTAATATTAATAAAGGGCAGAAGGATGAGTATTGCAACTAAGTTAAAAGAAATAAATTGGCTTTCAGTTCAGAATTATGTTCAGTACATGCTTGATATTTATTTATAAAATAAAAAAGACATAGTACCATCGCATCAGATGTATTAGAAAAACTTCAATATAATTCGCAATATCGCAACTATAATACAAGAAGCCAATCTGACTGTCATGTACGGCAAGCTATCACTAAAAGTTCCCAAAATACAATTTTTATTAAAGGTTCTAAACAATTTAATAGACTGCTTACAGAAATTAAAAAAAAAAACAATAAATGTATTCAAAAGTAACCTCAAACAATACTTGATAAATAAACAGAACGCATATACTTGTGATAATACTCTTTAAACCTTCCCTTTTCAAGTATTTCCCTTAATTTATTGTTATTTTACCCCTCGTTTTACCCGCATTTATTATAAATTATTTGTTTTGAGATCATGTACTTAATAAAATATTACTTGATGTTATATTAATACCACTTACTATGTTTAAATTATTAATAGTTTTGCGACGATAGGTTATAGAAACTTATAGCCACAAAACTATTTTTATGTTAAAGTAGATCCATAGAGAGCAATGTAATTTACAAAAGCCTTCTTTCAACATACAAATAAATGACAACTTTATAATTAAAATAAAAAACACAACAAAATACCTCGGTACCAAGGTAAGAAGATTCATTTTTAAATTTTATTTATTGAGGAAATTTATGACTAGAAGTTTACTAATTATTATTTACAATTCGCTGTAATCTAAAATCGTATAATAAAAATTTTCTACAAAAAACCAGCATTATATCCTACCTCTCTTTTATATAATAAAAAAATGCTTTGTATAAGAACATTATATTATATGTCTTGCTGTACCTTTATTTATGGAAAGCCTGAATTGAGATACACTACAAATTATTTGCAATAAATATCAACAGAAATATACATTTTTAAATATTTTGACATTTAAGAGCCATTCACATATCACAGTTGACATCTTGATACTTGACAGGCACAGCCAAACATTATTCTGATTTTTGCCAAATAAAATGGCCGGTTAATTATTCTATGGGGTTGCAACAGAGAGCCAGTAAATTTGATAAATGTGTTTTTGTGGCTAGGGGTGAAATAGTAGTACGCTTAAGTTAGCACCACCATGAAAAAGTAATTTTTAAGAAACTGCTTATATATTTTTCATAAATTGGCAAGCTTGGCGATTAATTTCGAATAAAAATAGCCTCCAAAATGGCTATGGTTTCAAGAATGCAGGTCGCAACCCGCCTTAGAAATTTCACCTTTACTATCAACAGGTGTTGTTTGACAGGTCGTTACAGAATGTTAGCAATTTATGGAATGTTAAGAATTCTAGGAATGTTGACGTTAGAAATAATTGGAATTCCTAAAATTGTCACATAAGAAATGCATATGCGGATTTTAAGAAAATTGATATTAAAGTAGTTAGGATGAACCGAAAATTATGAAAATCAATAGGGTTCTAAATTAGAAGTAATTCAAGAAAATCAAAACCGCAAGTCAATTAGAAATTTCGTTCTAGAGTTATCGTGCCGGCATCCATAATTTTTTTCTTGCATTTTTGGACTCGGAAACATGAATAAAAGTTTTAAAAAATGGGGGTAAGAAAATGTTTTCGTCTGCAAGAATGCAATACTAAGGCCCCATAGGAAGGGCCTCAGTAATTTTTGTGTAGATCTTCATTTAAACAATGTATTATTTATTTATTTTTAAAATCTCAAACAGCTTAGAACCTTTTTCTAAGGGTAGTAAATATATTCATTATTATTACTAAGTTTCATACATAGTATAATAGTAGATGGTCCGGTTAATTGCAAATTTCCTTCTAAATTATTTGTACTATAACTAATAAATTAAAAGAGTTTCAAAGTCCTCAAGAAATATTGAAAAATAAAATAAACACGAAAAATAAAAAAGACAAAACGACACTGCTTTTTTTAATGATAGTATCCAGCCAATTTATTTAATACAGTTTATAACATTATAACATTTGCCAATTTTAACATGGACTCAAGAGAGGAAAAACTGTTGACCTTAATTTTCCAAATAAGAGTGTATATCTGAGGCAATTTTTCGCAGTAAGCAAGTTGGAGTGTATATAGTATTTATTACTTTATACAAAAAAGCATCCTTGTGAGCTTACGTTTGTTTGATATTGAAATAATATTAAAGGATCATCTAACAGTTAGGTAATCATTTCAATTGGAGCTAAATACCTATATTTATGGTTTATCTCCCCACAAAAGACACCTAAACTCTAATTTAGGCTTAATTACCTCACAGTATAGAATTTTAATTGTTTCAAAAGAAAAAAATCTGATGTGTCCAACACATGATTTTCCCATCTAATTATTACAGGCTTTTTTCGGTTATTTTGTATTTATGTTTTTTACTAGAATTTTTTGTATTTTATTTTCAATTTAATGAAAGGTAGAGGCTCGAAGCCATATTTATTTTTAACTGAAATTTTAGGAAATAGTTTACTATAAGTAAAGGTAAAACTTTCAGTTTGTATTAAAAGTTCAAAAAAATATATTTTTGTTTTGTTTTTTTACTATTGTTGATGGGAGGTAGAGCCCTAAAGATATCTTTTTTTAAATTGAAATTTTAGAAAATAGCTTAATATATGTAGAGGCAACTTTTCATAGGTATTATATATTAAAAAATAATTTTTTTTTCGCTCCACCATAATAACTATATACCTAGCTAAAACGTTGACGTGAACAATTTACATGTTCGTGCTCAAAGAATATAAATTCCCATCAATAATGATGATAATAATAGCTACTTTATTAGCCAGCGCATTTTTTTTTACTTTTAGTGTCATTTTTACTTTCATTAAATTCTGATGTAGGTACTTCTCTTCATTGTATCTTTATTGGTACAACTTGTTATTTATATGGGTTTTAAATTCCAGCCTCGCTGAGATCCGCTGTGCCCCCTACAGAGAGCCTGTTTTATTACGGGGGCTCTATTTCATGTACATCTCATAAATTTGTGACAGTAACAGCAAACTACCGAAGCACGCGAAGATAAGAATATAAAAAAAGGAATAATGTGACTACAAATACGATATCGGAAAGGTATCTACACGAAAAAAAAAAAAATCACGTATACAACAATAGACTATTTTATTAGAATATCTTTACAAATCATCAATTTTAGTTTATAAATACTAGTAGAACGTTATTATTATTTTATATAAAAAAAAGTTCCTTGGTTTATTCGGCCAATAGTTTTTGTTTTATAATTTAGTTATTATTATTTTATATAAAAAAAAGTTCCTTGGTTTATTCGGTCAATAGTTTTTGTTTTATAATTTAAACACTATAAATGTTAAGAAAAAACAATATTTTCATCTTCTGGTGCAGTCATTATATTTATAAAAGTATGCGACATGAAATTATTATGTCGAATACACCTTCACACTCTGTGAAACAGAAAGATGGGGTCTATATTATTTAAAAAAATTGTTTGTATTCGTCCGTTGTATTTTTATAAATATACAGGGTGTTTAAATTTACTTTTGGTTATCGAACATTTAATTATGGTTAGCAAACTGCTATTAAAGAGTTTAATAGGCACCATTAAATCAGTTTAATAGTAATCAGAAAGCTAGAGGGTATTAAAGTTTTTACTAATATGCTATTGGTTATTAAACAATTGACTAATTACTAATTACAGTTCAAATTAATATATTTCCAGCAGTATTCGTTTAATTACTGGTATTAACTGCAAATGAAGTAATTTGTTAGTGACAGTCAATTTTGTTCAATTAAACATATTAAATAGACATCGTTTGTTCGGTTTTCTCTAGTGGAGAGACCGCAGGTGTATTCAACTGTATGCTTTTTTGACTCTGTCAAAGGTGAGACCTAGGTAATTCATCTCTATAGGTAATTGGGTTTTCTTCAACTTCATTTGGTATAAAAGTATTTTTAGATTTCGACTACCAAAAACAGTCAAATATAATACTTTTTTAATATATTCGTTAAAAATGTTTTAATAGGTTACTAATTTACTTGTTATGGTTTTTATATTATCAATACCTACAGATTTCTTGTTTTGTTAATTCATTTATTGCGTTTGTCATTTCAAGTTCTTCCACAGAAGTAAAGACAACTGTATTTGGGACAAGTTGACGTAAAGGTTTATAGTTATAATTAGTTTTAATTTTTCATGTCCTATATCAATTTTTACTTCTCTCGATAAGAGGGAAGTATTGTTATCGTGAAAAAGTCATCTTCCGAAATTATTTTAGATTTTCACGTTTCAAGGTCCCTAGAATACAAAAAACATGTTTCCCCATTCTGTCTATCGTCATCTGTCGTCGTCTGTCATCTGTCTATTGGTGCGATAACTCAAAAACAGCTTTACTGAAAAAACTTCAAATTTTGTATGCATTCCTTCTTAACTCTTAAAACCAGTTATACTTCCAATAAGTTATATACAGGGTGAGCACTTATTTATATTTTTAAAAGTCGACAGATTTCGACTAAAACAATATCTTATGGCAACATAACCTCTTTTTGTAGATTGATTTGTTGATAATAATAATTAATAATAAAAATAATAAGAATAATCGTATTTATAAGACAAGATATAGAAAAGCTTTTAAAGTAGAATTTTAAGGGGTCTGAATAGGT